TTTAAATAAAAAATATTATTGGAGTTGCTTTATTCCTCTTATTCCTCATCACCCTCCAGAATTACTCGGTAGACGTGAGATGAGTAATTTGGTAGATGGTGTGTGCTGGGAGTGTAGAAAAGGAAGCTTCCCTTCCAGGTAAAACGTTCTGCTGTGAACATAGCAGACTCAAACATGCTTCTGACACCAAATAGCATAACAAGTACGCAGAACCCACCAGCGTCAGTGTGGTTTATCGCTCCAAGCCATGCCGATGGGCGGCCTTTGCCATGTGAAGGGTGGCGGTAGGGGATCATTTTTATTATTTCCAGTGTTCTGTTCCTGATAACTCTTTGAATTAGTTGGGATTTTATAAAAGACATTTGCTCATGAATTTGACTTTGGCTCTCATGTGAAATGATAACCTGATCTGTGCTCGGGAGAGTCTTACTGTGCTTCTCAGACACCTAGAGTACCACATAGGGCTTTTTATACCACGCGACATTCCTCAGGGAAGCTGATATCTAATTTGGTGAGGCTTGACTTGAGAAACCAATAGAAATGTCTAGAAATAACACTGGGAACCTAAGTCATTTCTAGCTGGAGCTGGTTTTTCTATGGGAGTGTGCATGAGTTCTAAAGAAAATAGCCTTACCAATCGCTCGGAAATGGTTATCCACGTTCCTCATCACACGTACAAGTCCACGTGAGCCACTCTACCATCCTTTCCATAGCCGGTCAGCCAGCGGCTAGCCAGGTCTGAGCTTTAAAATGCAGGCCACTTGGGGGGAAACCCACCTAACCCACTTCCATCCTGAGGAGTCGGGTGGTTGTGCTTGATGGATGTTCAGGACACCCATCCAGGTCGCCTGGGAAGGCACTCCATAGTCACGCGTTTAAACTTCGGCCACGAAGGCAGGGTCAGCTGGAGGGGAGCCTCCTGTGGGCCCTAATTTTTATGAAAACAAGTCTCCGGGGAAACACAGCCCTGTGCCTCTTGGCCTGGGTCTGACAGCTGCCGGGCTTGTTAAAGAAGGACAGCAGAGAAGCAGCGGGCGGCGGGGAACACGAGAGGCTGTGTTCTGCTTTTCCATCGTGCGCGTGGTCAGCTGTCAATTAACAGAACTTCGCTGCGAGTCAGAGAACTGGGCCACAAAAGGTCTTTCAGGAAATGTTCATAATGTGGAATTATTCTGATCCTTATTGTGCCAGTTGAAAAATGGAACAATGGCTTGTTCATAACACGTTGTTCAGTAGGAAGAAATATAGTAATGGGAATTGCTGGGTAAGTAAATAGCAGACTGAATATGAAAACATTTGTGGTAAAAATAAGTGCGAACCCTTAAAAACATCAGAACTGAGTTGAGTTTTGTGATTTGCTGTTACTGTCCTTGTTCTGACTTTGAAGTGATACCTTCCAGTGTAGCCCGTGGGCCAGACGCAGCCCGACTCCTGTCTCTGTAAGTGGAGTTCTATCAGCGCACAGGCATGGTGTTGACTATGGCTGCTTCCTGCTGCAGTGGCAGAGCTGGGCATTTGCAATACAGTAGGATCCACAGTGCCTAAGGAATTTACCATCCCTCCCTTACAGAAAAAAGTGTGTTCATTTCTGTTCTAGAACACAGGCACTCAAAGCAGCCTTGGTGATTCATTGAAGTCTGAGAAGTAACGGCCTAGGGCGTTCTTTATCTGGGGCTTCGGTCGTCAGACTCTGTGAAGTTATAGACACAGTTCTGTTTGTGTGCTTCTGTGTATTTTTCTGCGTCTCTACCTTCTCAGACATGGAGAGATCTGTACCCTTCATCACTTTTTCAAAATCGTTTGTAACCCTCCAAAACTGAGAATCAGTAGGCTAGAAAAGGGAGGCCTTGACTCAGAATTCATGGATTCATGTTTGCAGTGATAGTAACAAAGATCTTACTACTTCACGCTAAGAAAAGTCAGGCCCAGCTGGTGCTTCTTTGTTTATTTATTCTTCAGTAAAGAATGTAAGATTTGTAGCACAGCCCAGTTGTGGGCTATGACATTGTGTGACTGCTATTAATGGGTAAGGGATTATTTCATGGATATTGGTTCCTTGAGCCGTAATAGCTATTGTCATATCACATTGTGGTTCTGAAGATATTTATTACCTGACTCTCCCACCTTGGAAAAATGAAAGCTCTAAGGGCCAAAATTATAGGCCTTTGTAGTGACTTTTTATGGATCCCCACTAGAAATCACTGCTAGTTAGCCTGACAATGTTATTAAACATCCATCATGTAGAGAACCCTGTAGGAATTTCTAAAAGGCAGAAGATGGAATCTAAAGTGGACTGAGGCTGACTGCTGATCGCCTTTCCTATGAATGGCTGCTTCACATGATCTGTGCATCTTCCTCACCCTTAATCAGGCTCCTGCAGGAGGTATTAGGACCAGAGACTTACAAGTCATCTCAAGGTTACCTGGACAGACATGTGCTTCTGGGGATAGAAGCTGTACAGATCAGTAGAGGGAAGAATAACAGTGATTTAGAAAACTGGGGTGTCAGAGGTCGAGAAAGAAAAGAAGCTCAGAACTATCTGAGGAGCACTGACCTTGGAACCAAAATATGACCCTCAAAAACCAGAAAGATACTTTGCTTCACAATTGAAATTTTTTTTTTATCCATTAGAGATTCATGTAGGTTAAGTGTTAGGCACTCAGTCGTGTCTGACTCTTTGCTACCACAGGGACTGTAGCCCACCAGGCGCCACTGTCCGTGAAGTTCTCCAGGTAAGAATACTAGAGTGGGTAGCCATTCTCTTCTTCAGGGGAATCTCCCCGACCCAGGGATCGAGCCTGGGTCTCCTGCATTGCAGCACATTCTTTACCTTCTGAGCCACCAGGGAAACCCCTAATGTAGGCTTACGGTGGATTACAATTAAGAATTTAAATACTTTTTGGTGCTGATTTTCAACAAGGGTTGAAGCAAACAGGTGGCTGAGATGCTGGATTCTGGAAGCTGGAATGGAGTTGTGTTCAGTGCAAGCCTGGCTCTCGGGCTGCCTGGGACCCAGGGACTCTGAAAGTCAGTCTGTGAAGTCAGGAAGTTAGAAACAAACAGTGTGTGCCTAGGAGCGAGACCAAGGCTGCCTCATCAGATGGAACTAGGCGGCTCCAGACCCCAGAGTGTGAGGCTCTGGAAGAGGAGGAGGAGCTGTGAGGGACAGGACTCCACTGTGTAGGTTCAGGTCCTCAGGATTGTGGGTTTCAGAGAAAAGACAGGCCAGTTCAGGCTGCAGGATTCCAGGAGACTTGACTGATGTTGAGGATTTTCTACTTCATAGGAGCAAACTTTGGACATTCCAGTAGAGCTCTGAGGTTGCATGTATTTTCTAGGTGTGTCTGCTTACAGCCCCGGAGCAGAGATATCCAGTGGTCATGAGCACACCTGTTAGCCAAGTCTTGGTTTCTAAACGCCATTCTGCAACTAAGAGGAATTTCTTAGTTTCTCCTTGGAGAAATCTGATTCTGGGCTAGGGGAGGGGAAATATAAGATGAACCTAAAACACCATTTTGTGCCAGGAAGTAAGGAAGTGCTCAAAGGATGGCTGGGTCATTTCAAAAGGACATAGCAGTCAGGTTGAAGAAGCTCCCAATAGCCAAACCTGGGTCATTTTCAGCATCAAAATAAATATAGCAGTAATGGATCACAATTCATTGAGTAATATAACGTCAGTGAATCCATACTAATATGAATAAAATGAATAAGGAAAATAAGACATTCTATTAAAGATAGATAATACTAATAAATGTAGAATAAAAGGTAGAATTAACAGTCATCATTGGTAATCATCTTGTAATGGTTAATTCAGGAAAGAAATGTTAAAGTAAAAACAAAATTAGCCAGTTAAAGCTTGATAAAGACCAGGATTTAAATAGCTTCAGGCTGTCTCTCCACAAAATACTTGTTAAATACAAAAGAAGAAGGGATTAAAGAGTAACTACTTTGGAGAAACCTGGGAGACACAAGTGATCAAGTAACTATAATACAGTCACTTGCTAAGATAGAAGGAGAAAATGATAGTATTGCTTCTGTAATATCTCCCCTCTCCCCACCAAAAATGTATAACCCTAATCTCTTCCTGAGAAAACATCACACAAACTCCCAGGTGGGCCCTAGTGATAAAGAACACGCCTACCAGTGCAGGAGACCTAAGAGACACGGATTCAATCCCTAGGTCAGGAAGATTCCCTGGAGAAGGACATGGCAACCCACTCCAGTGTTCTTGCCTAGGAAATCCCATGGACAGAGGGCCTGGTGGGCTACAGTCCTTGGGGTCGCAAAGAATCTGACACGAGTTCTGTTTGTTCTGTGCTGCAAAATATAATTGATGGTAATCTTCAGATTGTCAAGGTTATAAGGGAAAGGGAAGACTGAAGAACTCTTCCAGATGGAAGAAGAATAAAGAAACATGACAAGTAAATACAGCCTGTGACTCTGGGTCCTATCCTTTTGTATTATTAGGGCATCTGATTAAATGTGGGTGTGGTCTGTGGTAGTGTATCAGTGTTAATTTCCTGATATTAATGGTCCTACTGCAGTGAATTAGGAAATACATTGATGAGTACACGAGGGTAATGGGACCTCCGGTCTGAAACTTTGAAGTGATTTAGGGGAGGGGGAAGTTATTTGGTATTCTGCAACAAGGTGGATAATCATTATGTTTATTGAAGTTGTGTAAGATGACAAAGGTCAGCTTGGATTGCAGATGGGTGAAGAGGTTGGGGATGAATTGGCAGCTTGTGTCGTCTTTACCAGAAAAGCATATTCCAGTGGGGACAAGAACGAAGGAGTAAATGGGAAAACTTGTCAGTGGAGGATAAAGGAGCATCAACCTATGAAAGGCTCTAACACCGCACGTGCCCTCCAGGAGGGGGTCGTCGGGAGGCGAGGAGCTGAGTCACGAGCAAAGGGTGGGTTAAGGCCTGTGGGTCTGGATGTGGAGTGGAAGCAGGGGCCTCGGGCGGGCTCTGAGCAGGATCTGGGCATCGGTCTACATGTCCCTCGCGGCCCCCTCCAGGGCCGTCCTCATCGGTAGCGGCTCCGCCAGCTCGTCCTTGCCGTGGGTGTTAGAGCTGTCGGGGACGCGCTCTGGCTGTGCGCGGCTGCTCTGCGGCCGGGTTGGGCAGGAGGAGTGGTTTGCTGGGCACTTCAGACGGATTATTCTGCAGTTTATTCTGGAAAGAGAGGTTGGTTTAAGCTCACACTGAGGTACGTTCCATTTAATCTCAGTTCTCTGAGGTTCATTTCTGTTAACGCTCATGAAAATCTGGCTGTCTCCAAGTACAGGCTGCAATGGGGGGAATTAAGTATCACTCCTCTGCCGTTGGCTAGGAGGCTGATCTTTAGAGTCCTTTTCGTGATTGCCGCTTCGGTCCCTTGAACATGCCGAGTAAGGAAAAAGCCAGACGAGGCTCAAGTTGGCGGTATAGGGTTGTTTGTATTTCATGTTACCTTAATGCGCTGAAGATATGGATGCCTAGTGTGTGCTTGAATGCTGTGGTTTACACATAAAGAACATGCACCTGCTGCTCTCGAGGCCCCAGAGTTTGGAGAAGAATTGTGAGTGAACATGTAGTTTTAATGCTTCATGGGAAGGAACTTACTAGGGGCTGACAAAGAGCAGAGGGACTGAGGAGGAGAAGCCTCCGATTTTGTAAGGGCTTGTGAAGAGAAACCTTCAAGGCAGGAGGACCGGCCTGTGTGTTTCTTCAGAGAGAGGCACAGAGGCGCCAGCCAGGAGTTGGAGAGCGTTCCGGAGCCTGGGGGCTGTGGGAGATGTGATTAGTGGGGCTGGATGAAGGACCTTGCGGGCAGCCCTGCGGAGTCTTGGGGGAAAGAGTGCATTTGGGCGCTGTGAGCTAGGAGCCGCCCTAGACCCTTTGCCTGGCAAAAGAGAAGTTCAGTCAAGACAAGCCCAAGTTCAGTGTGTGAGTTTGCTTCAGTTGCCGCAGTGAGAAGCGCAGATTTGGGTGGCTTGAACAACCAAAATTTATTTTCTCACAGTTTGGGAGGCCAGAAGTCCAAGTCCAGGTGTCCACGGGGTGGGTTGCTTCGGGGGATTCTCTCCTTGGCTTGAATGACCATCTTCCCCTGTGTTTTCACGTGGTATTCAAAATACCTGCCCGTCCCCAGGTCCCCCGTCTTAAAGGACATCGTTACGTTGGATTAGGGACACCCTAGTGGCCTCGTTTTACCCGAATCCCCTCTTTGAAGGCTCTCCACACACAGCTGCGCTGTAAGGTCTTGGCGGGTGGGGCGGGGGATGACAGAGTTCAGTCAAGGAGGTTTATTTTTGGTGGGTCACCGTGCTAATTTCTGAAGGGCGATTAGCAGCTTTTCTATGAGTGTGAGATACTTGTAGCTCTATTGAGGCTTTCTCTCGCCTATAATCTTAGAAATAAAATGACTAAGTAAACAGGTGGAATGGGATGAGTTTAACGTTTCACGGTGTTTGCAGCATCATGACACTTCAACCCAGCATGTATCTCCTGAGAACAAGGACATTCTTCTGTAGAATCACAATCACCACACTCAAGAAATTCTCCATTAATTTGGTAGTGTCATTAAATATACAGTCCATATTCAACAATATCCTTTATCACCATAGCATTCCCCACTGCCTCAATCCTGGATCACATCAAAGTGCAGACATCGTATTTAATTACCACATCTTCTTAGTCTCTTGTAATCTGTTACAGAACGGCCTCCTTGCCCCCCACCCCTTTTTTTGCCTTTCCATGGCATTGAAAGTTCTGAGGAGCCCATACCAGCCCTACATGTCTTGCACCCTCATGGTGAAATTCAAGATGACATTTTGCTTCAGTTCAGTTCAGTCGCTCAGTCGAGTCTGACTCTTTGCGACTGACCCCTTGGACTGCAGCACGCCAGGCCTCCCTGTCCATCAAGACCCTGATGCTGGGAAAGATTGAAGGCAGGAGGAAAAGGGGGCGACAGAGGATGAGATGGTTGGATGGCATCGCCGACTCAATGGACATGAGTTTGAGTAAACTCCGGGAGTTTGTGACAATTTTATATTAACGATATTCCATTGCGTCACCACTGAAGGACCGTGACACGTGTGCTGAATTAGATCTTTGGTTAAAGGTGCTGTCTGCCCAATCTGTGCGTTGTAAGGATGACTTTTTACCATTTAATAAGCAATCCATGCACTGATTCTTTAAGCCAAGTAGTCTTTCAACAACTTTTCACCCAGTGATCTTTACTATCTGTTCATGGACTTTGCCTAAATCAGTCACTGTGTTGGAGATGGGAAAACGGTGTTCTTTAGGTTTAACCAATGGGTTTTTTTCATCTATAAGCTAGCACTTGTCAGTTATGAAACAGCAGTCTTCCTCCCTAGCTCCTCTCTTTCCCCTTCTCTTTCTGTATTTTTTTTCCCGCTTGAGTATCACTGTGGAGTCACAGATCATTTTATAATTCAGTGTCTTATAAAATGTTACTTTGTCTTAGTCATCTTGGATTGCTGCAAACAGAATACCGTAGACTGGGCGGCGTGAACAGCAAGTCCTTACTTCTCACAGTCTGGAGGCAGGGAGGGTCAAGGTCGAGGGCTGGGCAGGTCCAGTTCCTGGCGCGCGCTCTCTTCCTGGTTCGCTGACGTCTGCTTTCTCACTGTCCTCACTTGGTGGAGAGAACGCTCTAGCATCTTCCTCTTCTTAGAAAGGACTGATCCCATCTTGAGGGCTCCACCCTTACAACCTCATCTAATTACCGCCAACAGCCCCACCTTCAAGCACCATCACCCTGGGTTTAGAGCTTCGGTTTCAGGGAGAGACCAGCATTCCGATGGTCGTTCTTTCCCATGTTCATATGTTGCCATGTTTGTGGCAGTGTAAGCACTTCAGGCTAACCCTTGTGGCTTCTGACACACCCCATCACTCTTACTTGATGGCACTGTGGGGTGATCCCGGCTCTCACTTTGTATTTTCTCTGCCCTGGACCTGAAATCAGCCGTTGCCCGAGGATTTCAGGTTCTTTTTAGTGAGAAATAGTATTTAGAAACCAAGATCTAGGATTGAAGCATGCTTATTGTTACTGGACTGTCATTGTTTCTAGACTTTTACAGTGGACAAAACTTAGAAGTATTTATATACTATTTTAAATTGTGATTGTATGCCTGTGGTTCCAGTTTATATTCAGCACAACTGATTCCTTTTTACCTGCCCTGGTTTCAGTAGTTTTTTATATCCCTTTTTCCCACAGTGTGAAAACCTTCTTTCCTAACAACATCAATATAATTGCTTATTTGTTTTAGCATGTGGTATGTACAAAATAGTTTCAGAGTTACTACTACACTGACACCAGTACCAACAACAAACCAATTAGGTAAAGTTCAGAATTGCTTGGCAGGTATCATCATCATCATTACTATTATTACTAGTAAATAATGTACCCCACTGAGAGTGTGCCAAGTGTTTATGTTCAATGGTTATTGAATGTAGCTGTGCTGTCCATCTGAGACCAGTTCCCTTGTTTCTGTTTGTATTAATTTTGGGGTCGGCTTTTACCCCCCATCTTCTTTGATTTAGTTATTTTGAGGGGTGTGTAAAATGTTTACACGACCTCAGAGTCACACCTGTTCAGAAGATACACTGAGAGGCTGCAGCCCCGCATGCTGCCTCTCCACTTCATGTCCGCCTGCTGATGACCATTTACGTTAATGAATTTACTCTTTTGTTTATTTGTGTAGAAATAAGCAAGTAAATAAGCAATTAAAAAAAAATATTTTTACTCTCCTTCTTAATCTTTCACCTTGCTTGCTTTTCACTTCATCCAAAGCAGTTCATAGCGTCTTTCCCCTTCTGTATGGCCACGTGGTACTCACTGGGGAACAGACACCAATTAGTTTCCATGAGTGGGAATTTAGATGACTTCCCCCCAGCATATTGGTGTTGCAGGTAATGATGAAATGGATGAATTACCATGTGAACATGCTATTTTGTATTTTCGAGGTGTATTTTCAGAGTGAATATTTAGAAGTGGAAATACTGGGTTGAAGGTAAGGTCATAAATAGCTTTCTAGATAATGACACACTCCTACTGATTTGTTGTCTCAAGAGCAGTGTGAGAGAGTGCCTGTTTAGGGGTGGATTATCGGAGCCCTTTTTCAGTTAGAGTAAGGAATTTTCAGTGGCTCTCAGCCCTTCGTTGACGACACAATCACCCAAGGAGCTTTTGCAGATATTTACCTTAGAACCACATACCCCAGAAATTCATTTGTTCAGCCTCCAGTGGACATTATGAGGCATAGATTTAAATTATTTTGTTGAAGTACAAGTTTAACATCTAAGTTTAGTTACCAACATAGTAACTCTCTTCTTCAATGAGCTCACCATTCTCACCATTCTGGGAAGAGGAAATGCAAGCATCCTGTTAATCTGTAAATCCAGTCATGGTCATGATTTCTGAACTACCTACACATACTGGTGACGATGTAGCTTTAATTTTTCAAAAATGACCTGATTTCAATTAGGTTTCATTCATTCTACAAGCATTTATTGAGCACCCACTGAATGCCAGCCATTGCCTAGATACTAAGGAAAGGATACAAGATCAGGTCCTGTCCTTAGGGTGTTCATTCCGGTTGGAGGAGAGGCAGGTACAGGAGAGGTCATTGAACCCCTCAGCTGGCCAAATACGGGGTGTGTGTAGACTCTTGCCCTTGAGGAGCTCCCTTTCCAGTGGGGCAGACACAAGTAAATGAAATATGATCATTATAAAAAGGGCTCCTTAGAGAATGCAGCAGGGGCATCTAACCCAGGTGGAAAGACAAGGGGAGGCTTCTTGGAGTTGGTGGTGGGCATTTGGGCTGAGTGTTGCCCTACTGAAAGAGGGAGGGACAGCACCCCAAGCTAGGAGAGTGATGTGTCCAAAAGCTCAGCAGCGAGAGAGGAGTTAGCTTTTAGGGAAACGCAAGTGCCTCTGAGTGGCTGGAGTGTGAGCTTCAAGCCAGGCACGACAGAAAGAGGATTGGATATGTACCCACAGCCGCATCATCTGCCCCAGTGCCTGGCGCATGGTGGGTGTTAAATAAATCACTGGATGCCTGATTGCATGAATGATGACTTGCTGATTTGTGGAACCCAGCAGTTTTGCATGGGCGTTTTGCTAACCACACTCAAGATAAAAGGAGTTGGTGTTCCCAGTGTATTTGATACTTTATCTTGTGGATAAAGTAGATTTTTTTTTTTTTTTTGTAATGCAGATGGCAATCAGATTTTGAAAGTAGCCATGATTGGAAAGGGTCACCTGGATGATGTATTGCCCCATTCTGGATTGATGGGCAGAAAGAAAAATCTCTTTGAATTGTTTTCACAGTGTTCCTGTCTCTTTATCTGCTTATTGTAATCCAGCTTCGGGGATAGATGGCATTTAAAAAATGCATAGTCCTTTTGGCCCTGAGAGCCCATCAGCTAAAGAAAAACAAACGGGCTAGACTCACAGACAGCGCTTGTGTTCAGTGGTGTCAGCTGTGGAATGGCTTCCTCAGGAAATCGTGTTGTGTGCGAGTCTGGTTCTATAGTCTCAGATACTCCACTAGCCTGGAAAACGAGCAGTTGCAACGGTTCAAGCAACCAGGTGAAGGACAGGAGTTCTGGTGGAAGCTGGATTGAGTCTGCAGCTATAGCGGTGGAACCCTGTGAATCACCTTACATTTGAATTTCCTTAAGGCTTTGCTCCCTCTTCCCTCCTTTCAACGTAGGTTACATCTGACCTTCTTTTAACTCAGTGTTTTGAGAGCATTAGAGAATTATTTTCTGAAATAGACTGGCTGTCTCAATAAACCAATGTAATCTGATTCCCATGACCTACATCAGCTAATGGCTAGTGAGACGTCCGCTTTCATTTAAATCTGTATTTGTTGTTTTATTCCTATTATTATTATGTCTCTATGAAAAATGTCATAATATGCATAAAGTAAGGAAACAGCTATTTTCTCTGTTGGTAAAAGTCACTGAGTTTAGTAGAAGAAGTATAGAACCAGGAGCAGAAGGAAGCTGGCTGCCAGTGTATAACTGGTATAAAGGTTTGAAATATGCTTAGCCATTTCTTCCGCTTTGAAAGAATACCTTGAATTAAGCAGATATAGAATTACTGTGTTATTGAAGGTATTTGTAAAACAAGATCAGACTGACAAAAACTCAGCAATGTGAAGCATAGAAAATTACCACTTGGTGGTTGAAAACATGCTTGAAAACCAGGCAGGACCTAACATAGGTGGGCTCCATAGAGAGTTGGCTTCTAAAATCCCATCAGTTTTATTTTCTGGCCTGAAAGACTCTATTTTAATTTGCTTTCTACTTACTAAATGAATGCTTATTAAATCGGACTGTTTGAAACTCAAAGATAGAGTTTGGGTAATGTTAAAAATATTAGCTTCCTGTTTTTAGGTACATTTTATGAATCTTAGAAGAATGATAAGTTATAGAGAATTTTTTTCTTAAATGAAACTAGAGCTCAGTAAGTTATTGGTATATTAAATAGACTTGAGGTAACAGGATAGTATCAGTCCATGACTATTTGGTAAATGTTATATTTGCCTTAGTGAATTGGGCTAGGGGTTTTCATCAAATAAGACTTATCAATTGCTTTATTTAACTGAGCTGCTAGCTTTGGAAAATAAGTATTCTGTCCTATAAAGGTACATAGTTTTATGTTTTAAATAGTTTTGGTTAGGTACTATGTCTATACATGTGTGAAAACTGAAAGTGTTAGTCACTCAATCATGTCTGATTCTTTGTGACCCCATGGATGTAGCCCACCAGCCTCCTCTGTCCATGGGATTCTCCAGGGATGAATACTGGAGGAAGTTGCCATGCTCTTCTCCAGGAATCTTCCTGACCCAGGGATCAAACCCAGGTCTCCTGCATTGCAGGCGGATTCTTTACCCTCTGAGAAAATAGGGAGGCTAGCTTTGAGAGATAAGTGTTCTGTCCTATAAAGACACATCCTTTTATGTTTTAAGTAGTTAAGTATAATGTCTATACATATGTACCTAACACAAAAGAATCTACATACTGTGACTAACAATACCAACTTCCCTACTTACTCAAATCCAAAATACTCTAAGATGACTTTATTCCAACAAAAAAAAAATATGAAAAGGATATTGCAAAAGGCATTGGTAGAAATTGTTTGTAAGTGTTGGCCATTATTGATTAACTCAGATGTTGTGACAATCAGTTGTTTAAAAATCTGGCTTAAATATTTTACTTCCCCTAGAATTGAATGTATTTGATGTGATGGAGAAAAATTGCAATAATTCTGTAACAAAACCAGTTTGACTTAAGAATTGTCTGTCTCTGTTAGTTTCCACAAAATGGATTGGATCTTATGTGACCTATATATATAAATATCCTAACAGATCATGACACATATATATTGCCACACATACATGGTATATTTAGAATATGTATTTATATTCTAAAAAGGTTACATAATTTTCAAAAAGGTTTTGGAAGTAATTTGTCCCTTATTTGATGACGAGACCTCTAAGCTTTAATATTTAACAAGAATTTTAGTTAATTACAGAAGTCATTTACATGTCAAGTTTTAAAATAAAATGAGTTATTGCTTTTATCTGACACAGAGATTGTATTTTTACAGTGTCTTTTGCTTTGAAGGTACTTGGTGAGAGTAGGGGGTGAACACTGTGTCCTAAATTGCCAAATTTTTTTCCTCCCAGCAAGCTTAAATGCTTTGTTCATGGTCTTGGATATAAAGGTTTGGATCATTCATTACCTCACATTTCAGTTTGCCCCTCCTTGGAAACTTGAATTGTTTTAGTTGAGATAAAACGAGAATACGTGAGGGTAGGTGTGCCCTTTAATGCTGTGTCATTTATAAAGAAGTGCCCACCATCTAAGGTTGTACCATCTAAAGATGTGTCTGCTTACAGAGGAGCAAGGAGCTCTGATAAATAAATAAGAAAGGGAGAGGAGCTGAATCCAGCATTTGCCTACGTCGGTTTTATAATCACAGCCTGGTGTTGAGTGAGAAGGGAATTTACAAGGCAAGGAATGGCTGTGGGCCCAGAGACAGTCCTTATTTGACAATGTGATGACCTAGTGATCATTTTAGCCCTCCACACCCCCTTACGGGTATTTGACTGTAGGTTCTCAGGTGAAAAGAATGGGAATACTGTTAAGGTTTGATCCCTATAAACTTAAACATTTGTGATTCACTGTGCTCCTCCCTTGCTTCCATTTTTTCCTAGAGGGCCTATTAATGAAAATACCTATTTCTTTGTTGTCTAATAATTGACTTGGTGAAATATAACTTCATATAAATAACAGTATGTGGTAAAGCTAGTTTCCCAATAGTTGTCTAAGCGTCCCATGGAAGTCAGGACTCCAGTGCTTAGACAGTTTCAAAATGTGGAGAGTACTGGCTGTCTCTGTGACCTCCAGACCCACCCCCCACCCCCCAACCCCACCCCGCCCGTTGCATCTCAGCAGAGCCACGCTCCTCAAAGTTGCCACCTCCATCCACTGGTCAGAACGAGAAACTGGCGTCTTTCGCTCGTCCTTCCTTCCTTGCTCTCCTCTCGCACTCTCCTGCTCTCCTGTCTCCAAGCCGTCTTCATTCGCGCTTCCCTTTTCTTCCATCCTCACAGTTTTCACTCCAGCCTTGCCCATCCTTCTCTTTCAGCTGAGCTCCTGCCAGCTCATCCCCACTCCTGGGGAAGCTTTAAAAAATAATACACAGTGGAATCTTACTCAGCCATAAAAAAGGACACATTCTGAAACTTGCTTTAATTTAGCATGGAGGGACCTTGAACACATGCTTAGTGAAATAGACCAGACCCAAAAGACAAGTATTATGTGATTCCCCTTACATGAGGTCCTACCTAGATAGCTGGTTCCTTGGAACAAAATGCAGAAGAGAGGCTCCCAGGCGCGTGGGGAAGAGGAAGGTAGGGAGTTCCTGTTTAATGGCTATAGGGTTTCTGTTTGGGATAATGGACAAGTTCTGGAAATAGATCATGGAGATGAATCACCTCTATGAATGTACTCAGTATTATGAATGTACTTCATGCTATATTCTTTCAAATGGTTCAGCATAATAATGATAATGCAGTTATGGTTGGGAAACCTCTCTCCCTGAAGCTCCAATACTTTGGCCACCTGATGGGAAGAACCGACTCATTAGAAAAGACCCTGATGCTGGGAAAGATTGCAGGCAGGAGAAGGGGACGATAGAGGATGAGATGGTCGGATGGCATCACCGACTCAATGGACATGAGTTTGAGTAAGCTCCGGGAGTTGGTGATGGACAGGGAGGCCTGGCGTGCTACAGTCCATGGGGTCGCAAAGAGTCCAACACGACTGAGCGACTGGATAACAACTCTCCTATGAAATCTTCCCAAGCCCCGACACCTCCCAGATGAAATCCAGGCTCTGTGTAGGAGGAAGGAGGGGCCCCTGTCCCACTCCTTGGGATTCCACCTCTTCCTAAAGAAGAGCTCCCGGGGCCCTGGCCTCCGTCAGCGCCCCCTCTGAGGACTGGCCGCGTGGCCCGCAGCCCCTGCCCCCGTCCGGCTCGGTTCGCCCCATCCCCGCTCCCCGTCTCGGCCCCGCCTCCGTGGGTCCTGCGTCGCTGCTGGCTGCGCCTGGCCGCCTGGTGACCTCGCGTCTCCCCGAGCGGACAGGTGCGCGGTCGTTAGGACCAGAGCGGGCAGGAGGGGAAGTGGCCTCGCTTGGGCCCCAGCTGTTTCCTCCTGTCTTGCTTTGGCCGAGGTCGTGTCAACCCCCAGTTTCGCCATCTGCTTCTCCGCTGAGCTCGGAGCCAGGGTGGGTGCCGGCACCGAGAGCTTCCCGGGTGCTGGTGGAGCTCAGTCTGGACGGTGGGCTGGGCGCTGGCCCCGTCCCCTCTTACAGGGCACCCAGGCGCCGGCCCCGTCCCCTCTTACGGGGGCACCCAGGCGCCGGCCCCGTCCCCTCTTACAGGGGCACTCAGGCGCCGGCCCCGTCCCCTCTTACGGGGCACCCAGGCGCCGGCCCCGTCCCTCTTACGGGGCACCCAGGCGCCGGCCCCGTCCCCTCTTACGGGGGCACCCAGGCGCCGGCCCCGTCCCCTCTTACGGGGGCACCCAGGCGCCGGCCCCGTCCCTCTTACAGGGCACCCAGGCGCTGGCCCCGTCCCCTCTTACGGGGCACCCAGGCGCTGGCCCCGTCCCCTCTTACGGGGCACCCAGGTGCTGGCCCCAGTCCTCACCACCCCCACCTGCCCCACGTGGAACTCTGCCTCTTGCCTAAGCTGAGTCCTCAGCTTGGAGTCAAGATGCTGTCTTTTCCTGCAGACACCTCTCCTGACCTCCCCAGAGGGACAGGGGCTCCTTCTCCGTGTCTACCCGATCCTCTACCCGGCCACCTTAAGCCCAGGTCACGCGGTCCTGTAGCTATGAGCGTGGCTTCTTTGCAAGGATTGGCCCCGTGTTTTTCTCTTTCCACCCCTCAAACCGAGAGCAGTGCCTCTTACTCAATAATGTTTGAATGCATGCATTTATAGTAGTGCTTGTCACTCTAGGGTTTTCTCTGAGAAGTTGAATAAACACCTTATTTTCAGAAATCATGGTCCTGGGCCAATCTGAAATACCCTCAGAATATTGCTACTTTCCCCTAAGTAAAAACCCACAGGTAGGGTTTTAAATACACAAACAAATTCAAAGATAGAAAGCAGAGCGGTGACTTTAGGGGCTGGGGGTCCGGGTGGGGGTAGTAAGGGCGGGCTGGGTGAGGTGCACAGGCTGTTTGGGTGGTGGAAATAGCTTGATTGGCACAGTGGTTTCACACCCTCTCACTGGTCAGAACTCATTGAACTGTACTCTTAAAACATGTGGATTTTGTCATTGATAAATTTTACCTCAAAGTGACTTAAAAATATCAGAAAGCAAGAGGAAAAATCTTTTGGATTTATTGTTTGGTTTGGAAAGATGAATTAATGATTGATAGCCTTTGGTTGCAGCACCGTTCAATATCTAGTTTAGGGGTTTGTACGTTTTTCTTTTTTTCTTACCTTGCCTAAATGGAAAATCGGCGCTCATTGAGTTACTGCAGCTGGAAGTAAGAAAAAGCAGAAGTAATGAACAGACTGACAGCTGCCTCCCTGTGGTGCTTAATTTTAACACTGATGCCTTTAGGATTCTTTGGAACTTCAGTCTGAGGCTTGATTCGCGCAATGAATCATCGATATTGAGGGCAGGTAGGGAGACTGAAGCAATAAACACTCCCTGCTCAAAGAAAATAATCTCGTGAATGGTTTTTGAATAGACTTATTTAAAGTGATGGCCATAAAACCCACCAGGCTTTTAATGTGCCATCCTTTTTTCAAATGTTTAATAGAGAATATTCTCCAGGTAACTAGAAGAACTCTTAAGAAATAAAGGAATTCAAAAAAGAGGGGGTGTATGTGTACATATGGGGCTTCCCTGGTGGCTCAGTGGTAAAGAATCTGCCTGCAATTCGCAGGAGCTGCGGATTCGGTCCCTGGGTGGAGAAGATGCCCTGGAGGAGGGCATGGCAACCCACTCCAGTATTCTGGCCTGGAGAATCCCACGGACGGAGGAACCTGGCGGGCCACAGGCCAGGGGTCACAAAGAGCCGGACATGGCTGAAACGACATAGCACACATGTATACGTATAGCTGGTTCCCTTTTCTGTGCAGCAGAAGCGAACATGACATTGTAAAGCAACTGTGTGCATGTGTCAGCCACTAAGTCGCCTCCAACTCTTAGCGACCTCATAGACTGTAGCCCACCAGGCTCCTCTGTTCATGGGATTTTCTGGGCAAGAATACTGGAGTGGGTTGCCTTTTCTTTCTCCAGGGGATCTTCCCCACCCAGCGATTGAATCTGTCTCCTGCATCTCCTGCATTGCAGGCACATTCTTCACCACTAAGCTATCTGGAAAGCCTGGAAAGCAATTATACTTCAATGAAAATTAATTTAAAAAGAAATATATCTATTACATGCTTTTCATGTGTGAAAATAAGAGTCTTAACAATTAGGTGGTTTTAAAAAATTGAGCTAAGACTTTCTGGCCCTGTATCTCCTTCCAGCCTTCAGAGGCCTCAGCTGGATGGCACTCTCATTGTAAATCACACATGTTCTGTCGCACTTTAAAGGGATGCCCATGTGTTTGGGAAATGTATCCCAAAGTTGAAGCATCAGAAGATGCTTCTGTACAGGGCTGAGATTCACCTGACCAAATCTAAGTTTGTTGAGCTACTGCAGGATGATGCAGATGAAAAACAAGAATTGTATCCAAAGTTCAGAACATCAGGAGGCATTATCACGGTGTCTTTGTGAAGTTCCATCAGATGAAGGCTTGTCTTTAATCTGGAGCTGTCAAAAGGAATTCTAGAGCCATTGCTTGTTTGTTGACGCAGTAGAACCATGTATTTCAGCGTGAAGAAACTCTGGAGCCCTGACTGTAAGCTCGCACCAACGGTCTTAGTAAATATCTGCTCTTGGCGGGGCAGCAGACGCTGGCCGTTGTCGATGTCCTTCGCTCAGCCCTCCTTCCTCCTGTTGTCTGGGGGGAGTCGTTTAAAGGGCGATGCCGGCGCGGAGCTGGTACTGCCTCAGTGTCTTCCTCTAGTAACTATGAAAATATTTTGCGTTCTGTGGCTTGACAGAAAACTCAGGTAAGATAGCTCGTGTTAGAGCAACAAGCTGATCTGAGGATGGGTGTCTCCAGAGTAATATACTGAATTTCAGGGATTAAGGGCAGAGCTGGTGAGAAACAATGTGGACCTGCGGTCAGCAGATGACGTCCTGTCGGCCGGGCCCCGTCTGTGGCCTGTTTCTGTGAAGGGAGTCTTATTTAATGCAGCCTCAGCTGCTTTTTGACACTTGATCTGACTGTTTTGACACTTTGATGGCAGAGCTGAATATTTGCAAAAAAGCCTGCATGGACCCAAAAGCCTAAAAGACGCTTCATCTGCCCCACAGAGGAAGGTTGTGGGCCCTGACGTAAATGAAGTATCACGGGAAAACATTAAAAAAATAATGAATTGCCTCAGGGTTTCAGTTTGTGCTGGAATTTGTGCTTGGGAAAGAAATGGGCGTGGGATGCGCGTGTGTGATTCGTTTTGTGAAAATGCAGATATTTACACCGGCCTTTGTCGGGGCCTTCGGAGGCTCTCTGTCCCCTGCAGGTGAAGAGCAGGGGCCGTGGGGGCCCCTGGCAGAGAGAGGCCTCTGCTCTCCGGGGCGCTTGCCCCTCTGACAGCCCCTCAATCCTTAACGCACAGTCTTGGCCCTCAAGCCATTCGCCCCAAAGGTGACTTAATGTGCTTCCTTGGCACAGGGCTGTCTTTAGATTTCACCTTGCGATACCACCTTAAACTCCGGCATCTCTTGAGACTTGTGAGTTCAGAGCCACCTTTGCTATCTGAGATAATGCTGACACGGGTCAGATGGGATGCTTAATCAAATAGAGAATATTTCTGTGTCCTTTTCTCTGACTCTTGCTCTCCAGTGTCTGGAGTCAAAAGAATAGTGGGCCAGCTTAAGTTACTTGGGCTCTAATATCCTCTAACAGGCAATGATAGCTCTTTGCTTAGCGGTTCTGTCTAAGCCCTGTGCACGATCGGCTGAATTTGTATGGTCACCTGAAGAAGAGCCTCCCTTTTACTGATATGTCGACCCTTCCCCTTGACTTTGGTTCTCAGATCCTTCAGCACTACTCAGGATTCTACAAGTTGAAGTGATTGATCTTTCCCCCTCTGATGGCATCTTTTATCATCGCCTCTCTCCAGGGAGCCTGGAGATCCACTGACAGTCCTTTGTAGCTCTTCTCTACCTTGGTGACCATCTGCACCTTTCTTTCTTCACCATCCTTAGGTGATCAGAGCAAGTGAAGGTGCAGCTGTATGTCCGAGGCCAGTGTTAACCTTGGCTTTTGTATGAGCCAGACAGTTATGCAGGCGTCTCAAGGGACAGTTGGAACCTCACCTTCACCTACTAGCAAGCTTGGATAATGGGGATATCTTGCTTGAGCTGAGAAGGTTATTAATTAGATATAAAATAGTAATTCCTTTGATTATTGCTACAACTCAAAGTTGTGGCTGTTTTCTGTTAGGGTGTTAGCTCTCTTTATGCTCATTCATTAAATTCAAGGCATAAAGGAAGAAACTTCTTTTTTAAAAAACGTTTTATTTTTTGTTGGGAATATAGCCGATTAACAGTGTTGTGACAGTTTCAAGTGGACAACAGAGTGACTTAGCCATACATGTGCATGTATCCATTCTCCCCCAGACCCCTCCTATCCAGGCTGCCTTGTAACAGTGAGCAGAGTTCCCTACACCATACAGTAGGGAAGAAACTTCTGATGTTTCCTGTTTATTTTAGATGTCTCACGTAACCATGCATGAGATCACTGACAACTAATATGTATAGATGATCTCTCAGGTATAATGAGGATGACTGTAGAACAAACAGCCTGACAGCTCTGTCATTTGCTGAAAACCTGAGTGTGGTTATCAGTTACTCAGGTCATGGAACTGTTCTCACTGGGAGGGACTTGAGGGACCATCTAGTCCAGGGTCCTTGGGGAAGAGGACCCTGCACTCACCGAGAGGTGATTTGCTTAAGGTAACCCGTCTACTTAAGGGCAGAACTGTAGCTAAACGCTTTCTCTCCCGATTCCTAACAGTAGTGATTGTCTGATAGATACTAAAGCAAACAAACCAACAAAGCCCAGTGCTTGTTATACTGAAATCTGGCTTTAATTCCTAAAAATGTCTTGATTCCAATATACTTTGATTTTAAATATTTATCCCCGAGCTGTGGATGGGTCTGATTCACCCCTCTTTTCCCCACCTTGACTTAACTGAAATGCTCCTGAGTTAATACATCTCTGGAGACTGTGGGTCTGTTTCAGCTGCTTGGGTAGTTGCATTTTTGCAGCAGAAGCTTTGGCACGTGGAGGGTGCGGCACCTCGGCCGTGGCCGTGCCCCCTGCCCTGGTGGTTACCCCACGAGCAGTGCTGGCAAGACTAGTCCCACTGCCGTGTGCGAGTCCCAAGGTGGCCACTGCCTTCTGGTGGGTCTGCTGCTCTGCCCGTTTAGCCAGTGACCTCCGTCCTCCCCACCTGCCTCTGCTACTGGGGCCGATCTGCCTCCAGCCCCGGCACCATCTTTTGCCCCGTACCCCCTGGTCACTCAAGACTTGTTTTTTTGGACACACCGCGTTGTTTTGTGAGATCAGAGTTCCCTGACCAGGGATTGAACCCGTGCCCCCTACAGTGGAAGTTCAGAGTCTTAACCACTGAACTGCCAGGGGCGGCCCTGCTCAGGACTTTGAAGTAACCATTCTCACCCTCCCGGTTTTCTGTATCATCAGATACTGCAAACCATGATGCTCATGGGAGCAAACAGGACAACTTTCCTTTAAAGCTTGGGCTGATAGAGTTCTCACTGGAGATTTTTTGGAGCCCTGGGGTCCACTGCCTTCTCCATGAAAACAGGCAGTTGTTACACCAGTTGGACTTTACACGCTTTAGGCAATTGTGTCCTGAAAGGGTTGCTCTCTGCTACCAGAGGACCAAATGTCAGCCACACACCTGTCACTGCCAAGCCATGCCCATTCCTGCCATTAATCAGAGTGTTTGCCAAGATCCAGTATAACTACATGGTCTTGCCAGCTGAAATGCCAGATTAAATGGAATTGTAATTATTTTCTCTAATCTCATTTCAAATATTTACATTTTCTTGAATAAGTAAATGACCTGTATCAAAAAGACATGCTACTTTAAGAGAGTAAGAAAAGCATATAGTAACTAGCTTCATCTTTGACTTCGAGATTTTTTTCAGTGTGACCATTGAATTTAAGATCCTCATGTGGACCAACAAATGGAACCATTCAAAGTCGGTCAGATGTAATTGGTATCAGCTCACATCACAGTGCTGGGGAGAGGCTTCATACTTGATGTCACGGTCGCAAACCTAAGTCATAGTGTGTGAAGAATCGTGAAAGTATAAACAGTATAAACTGCCTGGATTGTGGTTGGCGGCTTCCATATCCTAGAGTTTAATGTTTGAGGGCTGCACATCTGAGGATACAGAGGGCCAGCATCCTAGGCCATTTTAAATAAGGAGCTTGAACATTCTTGGATTTTTTTTTTTCATTCTTGGATTTTGCTATCCTAGAGGGGATTCTGGAACCAGTCCCCCACAGACACCAAGGGATGACTGGATATATTTCATCAGCTTTTTATCTTTATGTGCCTGGACTTCTGAAAGCAACTGAACTTTAAAAATTCAGTGTTGAAGACCTTTGCTTTTTACCACCCACTAAATTCATGGGAGGACTTGATCACACCCACACTTTAATAAAGATGCTTAAAATTATGTAGTTTTTTAACAAGAAGAAATTTTCTTTTGTGAAAATGTACTGGTTTTGTAGAGCACAGAATGTCATTTTCCCTCCAAGTCACACCTTCCTCCATTCATACACATCTCAGCTTTTTAAACTGTTTTAAATCCAAGGCATGAATTAGCATTGAGTTCAGTGATGATTCAGGGCCTTTTATTTGTGTATTGTGTAATTGGCATTATTTATGAAACTTTTTAAGTATTTTTAAATTAAGGTATATACTTTTTTTTGTTGGCTGCTCTGTGCAACACACAGGGATCTTAGTTCCCTGACCAGGGATTGAACCTATGCCCCCTGGAGTGGAAGCAAAGCCCCAGCCCTGGGATTGCCAGGGAAGTGCCAAAACTACTGTTTCATGAAGATATGTTTGACCATATGTTGTAAGCCATGTTAGTTTGAGAAAGCCCTCCCTTAACTGCTATTCCTCTTTTTGTGGTCTGTCTGGTTGGTTTCTTTTTTTTTTTTTTAAAGCTTTATGTTCTTTCAAAATAAACTGTACTGACGTTTAAAAATCGTTCCAGTGTATTTCAGTTTACACCTGTTTTTATGCATTCTACCAAAATACACTTTCCTTTTGAATCTGAGTATTTACTTTGAGTATCACGTCTTCCTCCTGTAAGGAAAGTAATGGCAAAGACAGGTTGCCAGTGTGTGCTGGTGTATCCTGCACTTGGGAATTTTGGGTTTCTTTTCTAGCTTATGTGGACCTTATTTTTTCTATAGTTGACTCATATCTTTTGGGTTTATGAAAGGATGAAAGGGAGAGGAAAGGGAGAAAGAATGATTCATCATTAGCTTTGGTCCAGAGCCTCATAAATCTTCTTCTCTTTACCTAACTAATCATCATCATTACTAATTATGAGACAGGAAATAAACTGGAATTCAGTATGGGCTGGCTTCACATAGAAAAGATCAGCGTATAAATCAAGGGGCTGTCCTGTCGTCAGAATTACCTGAATAGCTGAGCAGAGAGGGGAGGAACTGTCTTCCCCTCTGATTTTGTGTTCGGCCTGTGTTTTAAGGCCTACTCTGGGATAAAGTTGGAAATTTTAACTTGGATATGTTGGAAATTGAGTCGTATAATCTAATTTTAAGGGAGCTCGACATCAATTAAGTGAACATTACTTGGAACATAAATTCATGAATAAAGTGCATGTTGGTTTTGTTGAAAAATGGTGGTGTGGCAGGTCTTGGAGCAGGGCCAGGGGACTGCACGCCTTCCTGCTCCCTGGGCTGCGCTCACAGCCGCCCTTCGGGGGCCAGGAGTGCCCTGGGCAGATCACACTGCGCCTGGCGGGTCCACGGTGGAGGGAAGGAGGCGTCAGCGCCAGGGCTCCCTTAGCCCTTCCCTGCCTGGCCGTGCCTGAACGCGCCCTTCCGCCGCGAACCTGCAGCCACGTGTGTGAGTGTGTGCGTGAGCGTGTGTGTGTAAGTGTGTGGGTGTGTGAGAGCGTGTGTGTGTGAGCATGTGTGTGTGTGTATATATATATGTACATATGCATATACATACATACATATATATATATGTCTCCCAGTGGCTCAGACAGTAAAGAATCTGCCTGCAATGCAGGACACCCAGTTTCCGTCCCTGGGTCGGGAAGATCCCCTGGAGAAGGGCCTGGCCGCCCCTCCAGCCTCCCTGCCTGGAGCATCCCGTGGACAGAGGAGCCCGGCAGGCTGTGTCCGTGGGGCCGCAGAGTCAGGACTGACTGAGCCACCGAGCACTCAGACACTCCTCGTGGTCTCGGGCCGCCTGGGCCCTTTCCGTCTGAGGGACGTGCTGGGAGGGGCCCCTGGGTGTCCTACGCCCCCCGTTCTTCCGTCCAGCCAGGCTTGACAGCGAGTGCGCCCTGAGCGGGCTGCGGGCTGGGCGTCTGCCTCTGGCTGATCTGCTCTCCGGAGGCGCCATCTCGCTCTCAGGCCCGGTCCCGACTTGGCTCTACAATGTCAGCCCCATGTCTTCAGCTTCCTTTTGATTCTTTAACATCTTCCTAGTAACTGCTTTCTTATCCCCTCCCCGCACGTCAAATGGAGCAGAGCCCAAACAGGACTCCTCGTGTTTCTCTTCAGCTTGCCTCTTCTCGGGCGTCTGTCTCACCCTCCTCTCACTGGGCCTTGGCCTCTTCCCCTTACAATCCCGTTGTCAGCGTGGCCAGATCCCGCTCGACTGCTCTAGGAGCTGTCAGCACTTCTGACCTCTGCATCCTCATCACCACTGTTGACTTCAGACACACACACGCACACGCACACGCACACATGCACACACATGTGCACACACGCACGCACACATGCACACACACATGCACACACACAATCCTTATCTCTTGTCTAATATTACAGTAGCTTCCCAGCAAGTCTTTCCCGTCTATCCTGACTGTGGCTCCCTGATGAATCCCGCGTCCTTGGCACTCGGGGGCGTCCACAGCTTGTGGTCTGGGGTCTGTGGCCCGGGAGGGTGCCTGCAGGTTCTGTGTGAATTTTGTTCCTTTAAAAGGCTTCCGGGGACTCCCTGGTGGTCCAGTGATTAGGACTTCACCTTCCAATGCAAAGGGTGTGGGTTCGATCCCTGGTCAGGGAGCTAAGAGCCACATGCCTTGCAGCCAAGAAACCAAAAACAGAAGCAGTACTGTGACACATTCAATAAAGGCTTTAAAAAATAAAAATAAAAAAAATAAAAGGTGTCTGTATCAAAGACCTAAATGTCTAGGCTAAAACTGTGAAGCTCTTTCTTAGAGATGGCATCTGAAGGTTACTCTTGTGTTAGAAAAAAACCTAGCCAGTGTCACAGCTAGAGTATAAAAGTAACTGTAATTGCTCACCCCTTTCCTTTGCTCTGCTGATTTCTGAACTTGAAAGTACCCTGCCCCTCATTTTCCCTATCTAAATCCTGTCCATAATCCAGACTCTTCACTGGGCCTCTGATTGCTCCATCCAGCTCCAGTAAGGCAAGCATCACTGTATTTATGTTACAACTATTTACTTGCATAGCTGTTTAAGTACATCTAGGCTGTGAGTTTCTTATGGGTGGTGACAAGCTCTTTGCTACAAGGGACAGTAATAACTACCATAATGCTTGACACATGGCAAATATTCAATGAGAATTTGAATGAATAAATGAATGGAAGAGAAAATACGTACATGAGTTCATTCTTGCCTATCTTTAAATAGCTTCAGTTCAGTTCAGTTCAGTTCAGTCGCTCAGTCGTGTCCGACTGTTTGCGACCCCATGAATCACAGCTTAGGAGTGGTATTTGGGTCTGATTCATCTTAATAATCTACCATGGCTAGTATTGTGCTTTTTGCATCATAGATACTTAGTAGATATTTATTTTTTATTTTTATTTCTTATTTCAGCTTTATTGAGGTATAATTGACAAAATAGATTGTAAGACATTTAAGATGGACACTTTAAGGTATGGAAATAAGTATGCATTGTGAAAGGACTCCCCACATCTCATTGATTAACACATCCATCATGTCACATCTTAATCTTTTTTTTTTCTTTTGGTGAGAATATTTTAAGTTCTACACTTAGAAATTTTCAATTATTCCACAACTGTTTCTTGAAATAGTAGATAGATGAGCAGTTGATTATAATATGTGCTTTCTGAATTCTATGTTACTATATTTTATTTTCAATAATTTAAGTCCTCTTACTACAGCAAAATATTTTAAAATATTTCTTTTTTGATTGTCAGCATTAATTTTTATCAGTGATTATTTCTGACTTTAAACTTTTTCTACATTTTGATTTTGATCTTAAATCGTAATCACCGCAGAGGGGTGTATTCATAATCGCACAAAGGAAATCAGAAAGAAAAAGAAGTTTCTCTTTTTAAGAAAATTGTGAAGGAGGTTATCTGTATTATTAGCTCCTGCTTCTGGGAGTAGGTGGGGTTCTAGGACTAGCAATTATTTCTACAACAATGGTTGAATAGTTTTTTCCAGAGTCATCATGGTTCCATTCAGAACACATAATTTGGATGCTTTCAATAGGAAATGGTGTTGGGCAGCCTTTATTAAAACATTTGATAGATTCTTTAAACTCCAGTTGAGTTGAACTATGTTATCCTGCCTCCTGTCAATACCAGAAGGCTAACATTCTTCCGTTTTTTTGTTTTTTTTTTCCTGGTGAAGGCTGCTTGCCGGTTTTCTTTGACAATAATACTTGATTATAATCAGTGAATTAATGGTATTTGCTCTTGGTCCTGTTGATGCAGCCCCAAATAATCATGAAATTAAAAGAATTGACTGAAACATACTCGTGATCCTGTGTATTTTTGTGACCCCTCCCATCTAAAGATTCATTGTTGTTATTTGGCAGTTGTTTGTTTTGCTTTTTGACTCTTTTTAAAGCCATTTGACAAAAACTGCCTTGGTTCAGGAGATTTGGGGGAAAAGATAACCGATACCTGAGTGTGCTTCTTCGATGGCACCATTTTAATTACTTGTGAGAGAGGAATAGTCCTAACACAGATCCATGGAGTGAACTGGCTACATGATGTACCTAGATTTGTAGAGGTGCCTGTATCTGGCAATGAGCACTTACAGGATGGTGAGCAGAGTCAGGAAAAGAAGGTCCCAGGTGCAAAGGAAAGAAATTTAGGAAATGCTAGAAGCTTATTGGAAATGAGTTTCTGCAGTGTATTTAGAAGAACAGTTAAGAACAATAAAACAGAAACAGCAGGCTCCCACTGTAGAACATTTGGGGGGCATTGCATACCCTGTAGAGATTCTTGTTTCTTTAGAAATAAGAAAAGTATTGGAGGAGAGGCCTCGCTCACTCACTGTCCGCTGGACATCCCGGGACTCTTCCAGTCTCAGGAGCGGGAAACTTGTACCCATATGTCATGACATCCGGACTTTGAAGCAGTGGAATACACCCATCTCGGCCTGTTGTAAGTAACTCACTTTGTGTGCGTTTTTGTCTCCTTCAGACATGCGCACGCCCGAGTGTGCTGGAAGGCCGTGAGCGCCCCCACCCCCTGGCGACCGCGGCGAGCCCCGCCGGCGGAAGCGGGCGGAGCGGCGGGCTCCGGCCCGGCCCGGCCCGGCCCGGCACGCAGCATGGAGGCGCTGTCGCAGGACTCGCTGCTGGAGTGTCAGATCTGCTTCAATCACTACAGCCCGCGGCGGAGGCCTAAGCTGTTGGACTGCAGGCACACCTGCTGCTCCGTGTGCCTGCAGCAGATGCGGACGAGCCAGAAGGATGTGCGCTGCCCCTGGTGCCGCGGCACGACCAGGCTGCCCCCGGGCTTCTCCGTGTCGCAGCTGCCCGACGACCCTGCGGTCCTGGGCGTCATCGCCATCCCGCACGCCTCCGAGCACACGCCGGTCTTCATCAGACTCCCGAGCAACGGGTGCTACATGCTGCCCCTGCCCGTCTCCAAGGAGCGCGCGCTGCTGCCCGGCGACGCGGGCTGCCGCCTGCTGCCCGGGGGCCAGCCGAAGGCGGTGGCCGTGGTGAGCGTCCCCGCGGCTGAGCAGCAGCCCCTGCAGCCCGCGGCCCCGGGCGACGCGGCGGCCGAGGAGCCGGGCCGGCGGGGCGCGGCCAAGAGCTCCACCTGGTCCGGGGTGTGCACCGTCATCCTGGTGGCCTGCGTCCTGGTCTTCCTCCTCGGCATCGTGCTTCACAACATGTCCTGCATTTCTAAGCGCTTCACTGTGATATCCTGCGGCTGAAGGGGCTGCGGGCAAGGCTCCGTGGGTGCCCACTCGGGGCTGAGCAGCTGTTGGTGGGGGGATCGTGGTGAGAAGGCGGGGGGGCCCGCTGACCCCGGGGGCCCGGCGCTGGCTCCCGGGCCCTGGGCCGCCGTTTGATTACCCGAAGACAGACACGAAGGGAAAGCAGGCAGAGCGCTCTCATTCCTGGTGGTGACGGCTTCGAAGATGGTTGCATGCATCCTCATAATCACCTATTAAATGGACTGTAATTTATCATTTCTCCAAATCATGTTACGAGATAGACCTATTCTGCTTAGACGTTAAACTGTTGGAAGTGCATACAATGTGATCTTCTCTAAATGTGGTAGATTAAAACAAAGATGCTCTGCATACAAGTAGAATTAAACCTGAAAATCCATGTAAAAAACTCAACCGCAACATGCAGAGCTGCTTTCTTTCCTTTTTTTGAGAAAGTGAGACCCTGTCTCCGTTTAGTTGCTAAGACTTTTTATACCATTTTGAATGGCACCCAAATTAAAATAAGTTATGCGGACAGTTGTCTTTTTAGGAAAACATCTGAACAAGTGTTTCCAATGTGCTGTGTTTTGTCACGTACCTTCATTTTTCCTCCCCTGTAATTAGAGCTCGCTATGTGTTTATTAAACCGAAGGCCGGACGGGGAGAAATAAACTGAGTAATAATGAGAAATGCCTAACCCCACAGGAAACCTACATGCCAATTTTTCTCAAGCCATCTCACAAAATAAGAATTTTAAATGTAAACATTGTGTATTTGTGTGTGTGTGTGTGATTTGATTTACCTCAGGTTTTGAATCTTTTCAGAAGAATCCCAGGAGTAAGACTCTGTAGGCAGGAATGAGTCCAGAGTCTGAAACAGCGGCCACCTTGCGGCCACCTGGACCCCCCGGCAAGGTGTCACAGGCACGTCCCTTCCACACTTGCTCCTCTTCTATGTGTCCAAGTCCTGTATTCTGTAAGGCACAAATGGAGAATGCAGAAGATTCTGTCTTTTCTCCCAGTTGTGATGTATTCCAACAGCTCTAAGTGTTGGTAGTTGCTAACAAACCTGGACTGGCGTTTTAAGACAGTCCATGATTATTTCTTAAGAGAGATTGCTCCATGAGAGTTAAGCCATTTCACATTCCAGTGTCTTCTTGTTGGTAGAAGTGAGACTTTCTCTTGTATTTCAAGATATGTTTTTATCGAGAAGTGTGGCAAGGTGAACTAGCAATGCACATCCCACTGTAAGTGGACCAGCTCACCATCAATTCGCAAATGTGCTTAAATGTTTAATGCCTGCAGTTGCTCGCGAAGAAAGATCTGCTGGTTTTAAATGATACATTCTATGTCTGAATATGTGTGCATTCAGACATAGCTGTGAGCTTTACAGTTCTCGTTTCTTTTATGGAATTCATTAGCAAGTGGTGCATGCCAAGCCACCCTGCCCCCATTCACAGATATGTCCGTGTTCCACTGAATTCCTGAAAACAGGGGACAGGAAAATAAGGCGTGACTGCCTCCAAAAAGTAAGGCTAGAAATAATCCTTAAGACTGAGATAATTTAATTTACCTACAGGCTAACTTTTACCTTCAAGCAGCACAAAATGTGCACATTAAAGTTATAGGATTAACTGAGATAAAATGACAATATAATGAATAGAATCCCAAGCTAATATTCATTGACATGAGAATTTGATATAAAAATATGAACTCGGGTTTTTCAAATCTTTCAAATTTGTCATTAGCCCTTTAGGAAATGTATTTGAAATCTCAAACTAGAAATTAGGTTAAAATGCCATTTTATTGTGTAAGCTATTGGGCATTATACAACAAATAATCTAGGATTTGTTTGGTATTAATAATTTAGGTATCATATTAGCTGAATACTATCCTCTATTATGTAACCTAATATACTGTTGGGTTAGTTTCAATTTCTCAAACTCTCCCAGGCTGCCGTGATGCATGTCTGACCTAATTTCTGTTCCTCTTGGGAAAAAAACCCCACAGAAATGTTGCACTAAGGATTCTGCATTTCAAATGGACTTTACCCTTGCAATGTTAAGTCATGCCATATTCAAATTGTTTTTGTGAATGATATCTACATATGTTTATGTCCTATATGAAATGATTAGCCCTGGAGTGTAGTGTGATAGAATTCTACATGGTCTGTAGGTTATATATAGACACTGACATATGTGATGATACAGTGCCCTGTGTTTCTTAGCACAAACCCGTAGAGTACAAATGTCCACATACTTTCTACTGAAAAACAATCCCAATTGCAGTTAGCAGTGCAAAATTACTCGGCTCTATGATAGATTCTTGACATTACAATTTAAGGTACAGTAGCACCTCCAATCAGGATTTTTGTGTGAGTCTTACTGATGTAAAGCCGTTGTTTAAGTGGGTTCTGCTGCTAGTTATTCATTTGTGTACCTGCTTATCGGTGTGAGGTCCTGTGTGTGCCGAGTGTGCGTGCGCGGATGTATGTGATGTCTCAGCCTGCTGGATAGAATGTTTATGGGCTTCGTGTTGTTTGATGTTATTTGGCATCCACTGCTCTGGCCTCTGGCACTTACTCATGACGCTGAGAACACGTCTACCCCATGTGACACAAGCCCAGTGACGCCATCAGCCAGAACTCACAGTTCACATCAGTGAAAAAACTCACAACGGAAAGCACAGAAAGTCAGATCTGAAAGCAACCTCTGGTGGTTTGATTTTTTAGATGACTCCACTCAGGCCCACAGAGATGCAAGACGGTTTGCTCTGCAGCAAAAGGGGGACCAGGACTTTGCAGGGCGGTTTCCTCCTGCTCCTTCCTGGACCTGTTGCCATCTCTGTCGGGCTACGATCTCTTTTCAGGGTGGATGAATACCCACACTTTACTAACTATTGTTTAAGGTCTTTGTTTTTGTAGATTTATATATTCATTTTAGTTAGCATCTACCTCTCTGGGAAATGACAGGAGGGTTGATTTAGGGATGAGTACAGACAATTAAAGAGAACCATGTGATCTGAATTTTTTGAGTTGCAAAACATTGGTTTCCCCCCTGCCTCCCACTTTACCTGTAAAGGACAGTGAGTGTTGTGTAAATAGTAAACTATAAGAAGCATGGGTTTTTCTTTATTAATGATCTTGACATAACCAAGAGAATGCTGAATATGCTAAGTAGAATCAAGTATGCTATCAAAAAGCATTGTTTGGGGGAAATTTTGTACAATGACCTGGGGCATAGGTTGTGATGAAAAGGCAATAGGTTCTCAGTTCCAGTCATACTTTATGATCAGAAACCTGTAAGATATTTCCTTTAAAAATATAGTTCAGTTTAATCTTGCTCATGACTTAAGAGTGGTTCCCTTGATGGTTAAACCTTGTACTGGTGCAGCCAGCCCTTGGGATCTTCATGATTGGCACTGCTCAGTAGAATGTTCTGTGATGCTGGAAATGTTCTAGAAGTTATGCTGTCCAATACAGTAACCACATTGGTTACTGGGCAACTGAAATGAAATTAGTCTGAATGAGGAACTGGATTTTGTATTTTAAGTTAATTAAATTGATGCCACTCACATGTGGCAAGTGGGTACCACTATTGGACAACGGAGTCCGGGAGGGTCATGCAGTGGAATCTAGCATCAAGGTGTTAGTGGAGTAGACAGTACGGTGGAGAAGACAGTTTGTGGTTTAGTAACATGCAGTTGGCTTAAATTTTTTTTTCTTTTCTGGGCTTAAAAATAAATGATCTCAAGTATGACAGTAAAAATGCACTGATTGCCCTTTGGGGTTATTACTTAGATACTCTGGGCCAAGGAAAAATCAGTGAAGCTTAAAAGAGTGCTTGATAAAGCCCCTTTTCTGGGATCATTAGCTGCATGTGAATCTATTGTCCAAAAATAGTAAGTAGTTAGACAGTAGCTGTAAAATGTTTGACCTGCATGACCTGTACCGTGAAATTGTGTTTAGGGTCTTGTGGCCAAAAAGTAAATGTTACAGAAAAAAAGAAAAAAGCCTAATGAAATCCCTCTTCACTTCCAACATCTTACTCAGACTCCATCACTGCATTAGCAAGGCGTGAAATATAGGAGCAAGCATGTTTTGCAGTGTTCATAGGCAGTGTTTTTGTTTGCCCTTGAAGTCTGCCAGCTCGTCCTTGTATTTGAGGGGGGCATAGGTAGGCATCGTTCTTCAGATGCCAGACTAAAATGTAGGTACTATTTTTAGAGTGAGATTTGACATTGTTTTAGTCTTTTTTTTTCTTCGTTATCACTGAAATAATTGAAGATTTGAATTCTTGTACAATGACACTTTGTTTGACATTAGAAAAACATTGCCCATGAAATGTAAAGACCTGAAGGTTATTAAAGTTACTAAAATTGCTTTTTAAGTGAGTAAAGGGAAGCAGAAAATTAAATTTGAGATATATTTTCATTGATCAGACTCTTCCTGATAGTATTTATTCCAGTCTAGATTTTGATTTAAAGAGCTCTCATAGTTTTATTTGAAAACTTGCACTGTGTCTAAAGTGGTCAGTCTGCTTTTCATTGTCCAAAACAATGTTAATCAAATGCATTTGTTTTAAATTCAGAGCTTGTCAATGAGCAGGACTGTTTAGTCTGTCCTTAAAGATGACCACGTGTTTTGCCCAATAAGAGACCTTCTCTAGACTCATGAGGAAATCAGAGGGCCAAAGATCACTGGTACGAGAGCAGTGGGTGCCAGTGGTGTGAATTTCTATCTTCTCTTAGAAAAATGATGCTGCCAACTGGTCAGCATCTCGTTCCCACGCGAGAAGGGTCAGCAGTCAGTTAACCTGTCATCCTCGGCCCAGAAGGAGAAGCTGCCCCTTGCCGCTTTCATCCTTCTCAGGAAAACGTTGCCCACAAAGCAATCCTTACCAGAACGGGAACTGCAGAGAAGGATGAGGCAGTCAAGATAATTCAGTAACTGTTTGAAAGTGATAGTCTGTTTCAAGAGATGATGACTTAGTTGCTGAATTT